TGGGCTAGAATGGACTCTGGCTACATGCCCACACAGAGGAGAGAAATCTCCCCTTATATCTGTCCATTCCCCTCACCAAAGCTGGGGGGGAGGGAGAGAAATGGACAAGGACTAGCAGATCCTTGGCTCCACCCTACTGAGTGGGCAGAGTTGTACAGCCAGCAAAGAGGGAGAAGTAAGGTACTGTTGGTAATAGACAGAGAAAACCTGACTCCAAGTACTGTAGTTATTGAGGGTCTTTCCATTGGCTTCAACAGGCTTTTGATTACACCATAAATGTCTACCTGCCCCACCTCCAGGAGCAAGGAGGAAGCAGGATAAGAATTGCGAGTCAGAGATGAGTGTCTGATTCCCAGTGCCTCCTGGTGGTACAATTTACACATCTCCCCTTTCTCAGGGTTGTGTCTAAAGTCACAATCTCTCCCAACGAATAGACCAAGAACTGCCTGTGTAATCTTCAAACAGTGGTACCTGTTTCTATTCTGATAAGTTGCAACAATCATCAAAAGAAACACTTTGAATTTATGAAGGGTCTCCATTTCAGACATAATTCCCTCAATCTGTGTCAATAACTATAACAAATTTCAAATAATTTTTAATGTCAGTTTAAAAAATAAGCAAATCTGACATGACATTTTTATCACCTATTTACTATCTCAGATCAAATGGTTTACAGCATTGCATTCTGGAAATATACAACTTATGAAAAAACTAGCCTATTAAAATATGATAATGATAATGCCTTGAGTGAGTTATAGTTACTCTAGTAAAACTATAATGACTGTACAGCTGCTAAGACAAAACTATTGTTAACATGTTTTGACCACAATAATCGTGGTACCTGCTAACTCTGCTGTGGCATATTTAGGGGTCTGTCAACATTTCTTTTGTAAACATTATTTTCCAGGATTTTTAATTGAGCCATAAATGTTAACCCGGGAGTGAAATTTAGCATGTAGGGCCTTAAAATACTGTTGAAAAATATTCAACCATTTTGACATATTTGGATTTCAAAAGGAAGTTTACTAGATTTAATTTATGCTTCTTTTGCTCTTCTAGGACTCAAAAATTGATTGCTTTGTTCTTATATGTTGAGTGAATTTAAACTGGGTGCAATTTGCCACCCCAGAGACTGAAGTCGTCTACCCCAGTGTTGGCTCTCAGTAAATAATAAATAATAATAATACTTGTCCACAGAGTAGATACAGAAGAGACAGCAGCAAGATAAGTTTCTCCACAGGCCTTGCCAACATGCCTTAATCCTGACCACATCTGGAAGTGAGAAGGTAGTTCTTTCTTCTTTCTGTTTGTCCTCGCTCCTGAGATTATCAAAGATGCCAACTATGCTGGTTCTTATTATGGGCCCCTGCAAAATGGACTGAAACCACCCATTCTTTGAATGTAAGGTGTCCCAAACAACCAATTAATGGTAATGACTTTTCAGTCACTACTGACTGGACTGGTTTCAAATTGGCATCCTAGAGGGAAAAGGCCCCTTTCCAAAACCGAGCCATCTATTATTCTGGGTCATCCATCACCAAAGTTTTAAAAATGGTTTCCTAGAGTTAGGCTGCCAAGTCCATGTTTAGGCACTGTGACATTTTGGGGATTGTCCAGACTGATAAGGGATTGTATCACCTCCTGCCCTGTAACCTTGGAGGTCTCTATGCTGCGCAACTTTGGTTCAGATCCCTGACACCAGTATCTTACTCATGAGCACAGTCTTACCCTGACTTCCACCAGCCTAGTTACTCCCTGCAGGGTGATATCATCAGCCCTTCTGGTCCCGAGTCTCCCCAAATCCGTCCTCCCGATTTTTTAACTACTAGACACTCTGATTTTTGCCCTTTGGTTCATCGCCCCCAAAGGCATGAAACCAGCCCCTTCCCCCCGCCCCTGCAGTTAGCAGTTCTCTTTGGCACACACACTCTACACGGTTTGCACTCCAGAGATCTGCTTGGGTAAAAATAAACAAAAAGGTTATTTAATAGAAAAAACACATATTCAAAGATGAAATAGTAAGAAAAAGCAAACATACAAGTTACACAGAAAACAAACATAAAGACACAACCTGAGGCTTTACACTTTTATATTAGATAAATTCCCTTTTCTTGTACAAGTTACCTATTGCCTTCAAACAGTTTCCCAGTAATCGCTCCTAGCCATACATACAGACCATCAGCCCCACTGGCGCAGTGGTAAACTGTAGCAAATAAAAAGCGCTCCTAATGTTATCAGACTAATCAAGTTTTATTACTTTTCCTTAATTCCTTTCTAGCAAACATTACCTATTAAATATTTTAAGTAACTATATGAGAAGTAGCCTTTTGATTAAAATAGAGTATGTTTTAACTCTTTTTTTTAATCAAGGCTGTTTTCATAATTAAAACCTTATTCAATTTTAAACACTTACTAACAGAAAATACAAAATTGGAACCCAATGGCCGGACTCTGTTCTCTTTTACATTGGCAAAAATCATCAGCGTGAATGGAATTTCACTGAGGTAACTTCTATTAGAAGAGAAGAATTGCTACTAAAAGTTGCACTGTGGATTTACTGGTGCCTTAAATCCTTCTTGCCTCACTTGTATGAGAAAACCCACTGAAATTAATGGCCCTGACTCTCTTTGACACTAATGCCCCTTTTCACCCTTCTGGAAGTGAGTGTAAATGAAAATCAGGCCGTATATCTGCTATCCTCTTTGTGCCTGATTTAACTCACTTTAACTCAACAGCAAAAGTCCCACTGAATCCTATGGCAGTAGGATCTGAGCCTGTGCTTTAAGGGACTTTTTGGAATCTGCATCTCATGCATATGCTGATGGTTATTGTAATTTGGGGTAGGTGTGTTCCTGATTCTACATAATTGCTCTGGCTCATTTTCATAGCTCCTCTGAAAACATCTCTGTACTCCATTGCTTCTGCTTCATATTTTCTCCCTCCCTCTGCTATTACATATTGTTATACATACCTGAGAAAGATCATGATTTTTACCTCTCAGAATTTACCTCTCTGGTCTGTAAATCTTGATACTCTTAAGAGAAGTCAGTATCTGCTTATTGTTTAATTCCGTGAGTGTGAAGTTCATTCCAGCGCTTGGGCAAAATCCTACACTCCGCTTAAACTTCACTTGAAGTCTCTCCTTGTCACTTGAGTGAATTTCCCCCTAAACGTATCCTTTCACTCAGTAAGGGCTTTGGGGATGTAGTTTGCAGGAAAAATGCAGTAGAAAATAAAGTTGCATTGAACTGTAATGCTAGCAGTTCTGCTTTTCTATTTCCATCCAGGTAACTGTCAGTACACTGATTTGCCTTCTCCCTTCCAATGTGCATCTCCTCCTCGAGCT